ACATGTGGCATTGGATTCGTGGGCAGGCAGCAGATGGCAAGGAAACTGAGGTTTCCATTTGTCTATTGTGCCAGTACCGCACTCTGACTTTATAATGCTTTCAATATTTGGTAAACCAAACTTTCTCTACCTTGTTTTGCATCTCTAGGAATGTCTAGGCTACTCATGGCTCTTGAATTTTCCATGTCTATTTTAAAATAGGCTTGTGAAGCTCAATAAAATGTTTCAATTCAATTTTGTTTGGAACTTTATTAACTTGTAGATCAGCTGGGGAGATTCAACGTCTTTATGATATTGAACCTTACTATCCACAAACATGTCATAAGCATCATTTATTTGTATCTTTATGTTTTTCTGGCACATCTTTTGTTAAATGTAGTTAATTGTAGAGGAGTCATTTTATTCACAGTTACTGATGAAGAAGCTGATATGGACAGCAGTTAATGGGCTTCTCTTTAATTTTTTAAGATAGAAAGTGAATAGGACTGTAACCCAATTCCTAATCTGTAGCTTTTTTCCTTCACTCTAGTGTGCCTCATTTAATTAAAAACATGGAATTTGGATATAGCATGAATCATATCTGCCAAGCCATGATAGCTAGACATAGTTACAATGAGAAATTGGTCTGTTCCATGGGTATAGCTGCCCAATCTCCTGCTCCCATGCAGTAGTAAATGTTCTAGTTTGCACAAGTAAATCCTCCCGGACATCAATAATATGCTCATTTATGAAAGATAACATACAGGATTGGAAACCCCGTCTCCTCCACGTCTTGCCATCCATGCTTGTTTATGGGAAAGTCTTTAGATAATTTATGATACAGTTCTTTTTCTTTTCCTTTCTGTCAGCGATTGACTGGGAGAAAATAGACATATTTGTCAGCAAGAAGAGTGGTTCTTGCACTAAGGATGGCTTGAGTTTTTCAGCCAGTGTTTACAAAGTGAGCTTCTGTTCACACTAATCATGGCTAATGTCCCCTTGTTGATGAGCAATAATCCTGGCATGCGGACCCAGCTGGAGATCCCATTTACCTGCCAACTCCAGAGCTGCTTGGCTGTAATGACAGATGGGAAATCAACTGCGTTCCATTTATGAATAAGATATAGAGAGCATATAAGCTTTTGAGATTACCAGCTGCCCTCATTCCAGGATGAGGTCACTAACGGTAACTAAAAAATAGATATAATGGAGATATAAAACTATATTAAAGAACAAAAAGTGGCGGTAGCCATTTCCACCTTTGGGAGGGAGTAATGGCACACTCTGTATCAGTGGGAAACAGAGCTCTAAGTGGCTTTGTACGGTTTCAAGGACTGGAAGTCAGGGGAGCCCAAGAGTGCAAGGACTGGCATATGCAGTAGCAGGAGACATGGGAACTTTGGAGAGAACCAGGAACTTAGCCTCTCTGGGGGGAGGCATGCTGAGGAAGGTGGTGAGCAAGGGTGGTGCTGCTGTGGAGGGAACAGGAGAGCTGTAGGAGGTGAGACAGTGAGAGTGAGTGCTCAGAGGGACAAGCAGGGAGGAGCATGTCAGACCCACGGAATTGGCAGAAATCACACGACAGGGGTTTATACCAATCTGATTCATCTGAAAGTACAGGAAGACCTCGGCTACCTCCACAAAATTGGTCTCCACATTGCCAGTCATGACTCAGCCTTTAGATTTTAAATATATCGAAACAAAACCTTCAGGAGATGAGGTAGGAATAGCTCTCTGAAGGCAGAGCTCTAGAGGGAGTGTCCTGGAAGGGAAGCCACACACAAGACCCCGAGTTTGTGTTTTTAATTTTTAAAAAGTCTTGTCTTTATGTGTGCACTCAATATGTGTGTATTTGAATACCAGTTGTGTCACATGCTACCTGTGAAAACAAGCAAACTGCTTAAGCTTTGAGCCTGTCTTCTGTCTGTGAGAGACAGTAACACCACCTTGAAGAGTTGTGGATTAACTCATTTCCTGTTTAGAAAAAAAAAAAAAAAAAAAGCACAGCTCACTGCCAGTGCAGTATTCTCAAACAGGAAATGGGTTAAATGGGAAGTGGGCAACGGGCCATGGGTGAAATGGAGCAAACAGGAAACGAGTTAAAGGGAAGAACACAAGGAAAAGACCTAGCAGTGGCTGATAGGAGCTGCTCCGTCTGTCCCTCTGTCTTCTCTGTTGGTGTTGAGAGATGAATGGACGATGGCTTTGAGTGGGCCTTAGAGGGTCTAAGCATGACGTTTATACAGAGAAGTGCATGGCAAATATGTTTGCGGGTGCTGAGTTGATGGTTTAAAAAATGAATATACATATATACATCTAGGATAATATTGGCTGTTTACTCAGGCTAAAGGGCCACAGGGCTATTGTTTCAATTATATGATTTAGGTAATTGTAGAAAATTTTTACATATGGCTAAGTGAAAAATAGAAGAAAATAAAAATCAACTAAAATTCGACCACTCAGAGATAATTGCAATTTCCATTTCCCTCTCTCTCTAGCTATCATCTATCTATACATGCACATATATATTCTGCTAAGTAAAAATATGTGCACATATCTATAAAAGGGATACCATACTGCTTTCTTTTTCTTAATGTACTATATTGGAGAAATATTTCTATGGCAATAAGTGCACTCTATATAATAATTTTTGAGCTGTAGTGTTTAATTGTATGGCTATATAATTATTATACTCAGTTCCCTCATTGTAGGGTATTCAGATCTTTTCAGTTATTCATGATTATAAACAATATTTCTTATATTTGTTTCCTTTCTCTTTCTTTCTCCCCTCTCGCCTCTCTTCCTCTCCCCATCTTTCCTTTCCTTTCTTTTCCTTCCTTCCTTCCTTTCTTCCTTCCTTCCTTTCTTTTCTTTCTTTTCTTTCCTCACTCTTTCTTTCTCCCTCATTCTATCTTTTGTTCTTCCTTTCATAAGGAGTGTATTTCCTTGTAGCATATGATACAACAATCTAATATATGATTATTTCCATATGGGCAGTTGTCTCAACATTAGTAATTAAACAGTTTCTATTTCTCTATCAGTTTAAAATACTTCATCACATTCTAAATTCCTGAGGTTTCCTTTAGCATTTCTGTTCTGTTGGAATTTCCTGTCCATATAATTCTCTTTCAATGATTATAGTATTATAATTATAATACTTACAGAATTTATTTGATATTTGATAGAGGAAGGATGCCTTCATCCAATTTTTTTCAGACAAATATTCTAACTTTTAACCAAAGCCAATTGCACTGAATAGAATGAATTCACTTGTGTTTATTCTTTCTGATTGCTTTTGCTCTTCCAGAAAAACCAGGGTGTGGAGACTGCACCAGTGGAAGGGAAGCACTAGGATCTGCATGGGGGCTGGAATTAGCCCCAAGCTGAATGACTGGGTCTTCATGGGTTGAAAATTTCCAAGCAGCCTAAGCACATCTCTTGGTTACACTGGTCAGTCAGCGTGAAGGTCAGCCACCTATGACTCTGTGTCTCACTGGCCCAGATTGTCAAACCTGGTTGAACATTAAAAATACCTGAAGAGCTTTTCCGAAATAATGATGTCCATGCTCCACTCCAGATGGAGTGAATCAGAATCTGTCAGGGAATGGTGTCTGGGTTTTAGTGCATTTTAAAAGCTCCCCAGGTAATTCTACTGTGTAGCCAGGGCCAAGACCCAAGGCCCTAGACTGTAAGTTGCCTATAGTCAGGAACCATGCTATTCATTCATTTGTCATTCCCAGTCCCTTGTACCACTCCTGACATGCAGAAGAACACAGAGGAATTGAACTGAATTCAGGTGGAGAACCCAGACTTATATATCTCTACTCATTCTTCTAGGGAAAAAGACACAGGTTATCAGTGCCCGATAATACGTGTGCATCCTCTTGGCGGCCTCACCGTCTTATTGGAAAAAGTAGCTTTGAGAGGGAGAAAATAAGCTCTGTCTTGCTCCAACAAAAGTTTAACTCGCAGTCTGAAAAGAGGAGGGCTTAGGGAGAATCCAGTCTATCCCCTTATTTTAATGTCTTGGAGCCCGGGGATTATGTAAGTTTGCCAGGTGGCACAGCTCTTTGTGGCACATCTGGAACAGAAAGCAGCTCTTCTTATTCCAGATATTTGTGGTACAGCTTGTTGTCCTTGTGTGAGTGCATATAGTTGTGAGTATGCATTGTTAGTGTGTGTGAGACTGAGTGTGTGAAGGTGTGTGTATTTGTGTATATGAGCCTACGTTGTATGTATGTGTGTGCACAAGGAATGGGAGGGGTGTGTAACCTGAGCAGATCCAGTCTCCTTCTACAGAGCTATGACATTACAACAAACAGAAAACTAGAAGCCCTTTCTTCTTTTGGTCCCTTGGTTTTCTGTGTTTTCTCCAGATTGACCTTGGTCAGGTCCAGTAATGTTTTCCTGGGAAGCAGGACAGCCTTCCAGGGCTCAGAGTCCTGGGCTCTGCATTCAGGTTTACTGAGAAGGGATTTGGGGGAAGGTTGTAGTAGGTGGTCTTAGGCTTGATCTGGTTTGAATTGGTGTGTTGGGGCAGCTGGGAAAGAATGAACCACCGCGCCTTTGCTGGCTTAGGGTCCAGGATTGTTCTATGGACAGATGGCAGCTTTATGTATCTGCAAATTCAAGCCAATCAGAATAGCCTATCCTCATCTTTGCTGAAGGTGTGATGTCCTCCTTGGACAGTCTCTCTTTTCATATCTGTGTCCTCCAAGGTGCTTCTTTGCCAGAACTGAGGCTGGGGTAACCCTTGGATCCTAGCTCAAAGGCTAACTCTCTGCTGGCATAGCTTGGCCAGGTCCAAAGTGCCCCCTTCCTTCTCCTAAATTTCAGGGAGGTCACATGGGGGACGACAGAGCTTGCCTGTGATAGCCTTTGGTGGGTCTGGTCTGTCGGCTGGGTCCTGATATGATCCTGTATGCTCGTGTATCAAGGAATCCCCAGCTCACATTTGCTAGAGGAAAACCTCTGGAGAAGCAAATTAGCTAAGAATTGGGCCATGCAGAGTAGAGACTTACCTGAGCAGTTGGAAATCACTGTTTCGTAGGTTTTGCTTTTAATCCAAATAGTTCGGATCACAATGCCATACATGACGCTGTAGAAAGAACCAAAGGTAGTATTAAAGTGACTGGTGGATCTCTACTGTGAGGACACAGAGAAGACCACTCCACCTCCCCGAGTGCAAGGTGCAAAGGGAGGAATCTTTTCACCATGCCTGTCCCCCTATACTTGCTGTTTATAGAATCACAACTGAAAGTGACCATGAGGATCCATTGGATGGAGTCACTTCTGTCTTAAGTGAGGAGGCTAAGACCTGGTAAAGTTATGCAATCTCCTCAAGGTAACCCAAATGGTTTGAAGGAGAGCTGTGATTAGAATCCAAAAACAGGCCTTAGAGTCAGAAAAGACTTGGGTCTCCTGTACTACTTGTCTGTTGTACAATCCTGACTTTAGTGACATCTTTTAAGTGACGTTTATGATCCCTGACTCCGGCATTCATGGCTTTGTGTGATCCTCACCCCTTTAGTGTGGGAAGAGCAGGTGACTTGCCTCTAATCAATGCAGAGTGGCAAAGGGGATGGGACTGATTACATAGAGTGTAGCGCCTGTCTTGTTGGTGTCTCTCCCCATTGCTGGCTTTGAAGAAACAAGGTGCCATGAACCCTACAGCTGCAAGAAAATGAATTCCGCTAAGGATCTGAGGGAGCTTGGAAAAGAGCCTTTCCCATTCTAGCCTCTGATGACCCCCTGCCCTGGATAAACAACTTGATAACTGCCTTGCCTGAGCAGGGGACCCAGTTAAGCCATGGCCAGGTTCTTGACCCACAGAAACTGTGAGATGATAAATGTATCTTGCTTTAAGTCATTAGGTTTGTGGTAATTTGTAAAGGAGTAATAGATAACTACTACACTGATCCTCAGCTGAGGTTCTATAAAATGGTGTTAACAATACAGACCTCTTGAACTTTTTGAGTATCAAATGTGACAATATTTAAAGTGCCAAGTACAGTGCTGGAAAATTAGTGGGGATTAATTTCCTTTCTCCTCTTTCTTGTCTATTTATTTTACACTGTATCACACCAATTCTTACACGATTTAATCTGTGCCTAACAGGAAAACAAAGTGTTAATGATTCAAAAGTGTCAAGAAGTTTTGTATCCTGGGTACTCTTTGATAAATATAAAAACTACTCTTCTTTAATATTACTTGATATTTTGACTACATTAAGCACCTTGGCAAAAAACTTTGGGACACAGCAATGCTTTATTTTAAAACTGTGTGTCTTCCCTCTTGAGAATCATTAGTTAAAAAAAAATCAAAGCTTCAGTTTGCAGTAGCTGACAAAGCACTAATTGCTTTTAATGATCTTTAGAATATAACTTAATTAATGGCAATGTTAAAATCTCTGCTGCTTATTGCCTTTTCCCATTCCTGCTCAGCGAACCCTTCGGAGTGCTCCAGGAAAGCTCAGGGACTTTTTGGAGCATCTCCACTCTTTCTCACATAATTACCAAGGGACTTTCTTTTTTTTTTTTTTTTTTTTTGTAATTTGTATGCCTGCAGTAAAGAAAAAATGAGAAAAATGTTATTAGTGAGTTCAACCCTAAGTTGAATATTTGCTAGAACAGGGAAACTTCTTCCCCAGAAAGTGAAATACTGTGCAAGGTAAGGTTACACTCACCATGGAAAGTTAATGGTTATGTCAATTGCAACCCCAGTATATAACTGACCAATAAGTCAAATATTTATGACTGTTGACCATGTACACAGAAGAAAGGTTAAGAAATGTCTTATGCTTTAGGGATTTGGGCCTAAGTCACCCCCTCTTTTTACTTAGGGCCAATCAGATGAGTGAGAACCAGTACCAACTTTTCAGTTAGCATGGCAAACACCTAATAACTAGGGTATTATTGCCAAACCAGGCTACTTCTTGGAGCGTAGCAATCAAGCATCAAAGAGACATCTGCGTTGCTGTTTGTCACCACCAGTGTTTTGCTCTGTGACCCAGGCTGGAGTGCAGTGTCAGGATCGTAGCTCACTGCAGCCTTGACCTCCCACCTCAGCCACCTGAATAGCTGGAACTACCAGTGTGTGCCACCCTGCTCAGATAATTTTTGTATATTTTCTAGAGACAGGGTTTCACCATGTTGCCAGGCTAGTCTTGAACTCCTGGGCCCAAGAGATCCACCTGCCTAGGCCTCCCAGAGTGCTGAAATTACAGGTGTGAGTCACCACACTTGGCTTTGTCTCTTTTCCTTTAGCTGATCAATCAGATTGCGGATAAGTTTTGTGGATTGTCTCAGCAAAATGACTCCATAATCGGTACCTTCCTCTCCATCCAGGTTTTCAGCATTAGTGGAGACCCTTACAATCTCTCTTTATTCATTTTGATGACTGCTTTTATTGTGGGCCCTGTGATCGTCTTTGACCTTGGACCTCATGCCCATGGACAGTGCTGGCCAGGTCCCTGGGGCCCTTTTGCCCACAATAGCCGTGTATTCTATCTGCAGGGCTGCACCAACCTGGCATGAGGCTTTCCCACAGTGTGATCCCATTTCCTAAGCAAAATAAATGAATTTTTCTCACATATGACAAGTCAATGATCCATGACTAATGTGCTTTTTTCCACTTATTTTTTTGTGATTGTCAGTCATGAATCTCTTCTGCTTCTACCTTTATCTTACAGAGATGAAAATGATAAGAGAATGAGAAATCAATTAGGTAGGAAGAAAATAAGCACAGCTAAAGTAAAGCAATTACACTGGGGCTAATAACCTCCCCAGCAACAATTAGACAGTTATGTCAAGCAAATTTCAAAACAACTCCTGTTGTTTTGACCCAGAAAAACAACATATTGCTTTTGCTGTCAGTCACTATGGTTTCAACTCCTGGGAGCCTGATTTAGTGGATGATAGAAGAGCTACATCTTTATTCATACACAGCTCCCATGAGAGTTTGCCACCAAAAATACAACTACCTCTCTCTCTCTCTCTTTCCCTCTCTCCCTTTCTTTCCCCCTCCTCTTTCTTTTCTCTCTTTTTTCTTTCCTCTCACATATATTTATGGAGGAGCTATCATATGCCAAAAACTGATCTAGGCATTAGATAGCCAGAAATTTCTATATTAGCAGCACGTGTACACGTGTGTTTGTGTGTGTGTGTGTGTGTATGTGCGTGAGAGACAGAGAGAGAGAGAGAATGAGAGAGGGAGAGAAAGAGTAGAGAGAGTGACATGACACATCTGTTGTTTGGTGCAATTTATTGCATTATTCATTCAATCTAATATTCACCAACTGTTTAGTGCGTGCTGGATGTGCAGTTCAGAAATGAAGAGGCCACAGTCCCTGCACTCATGAGATAAAGTCACACTACCATGAAGTCTAGATGATGACATGGACAAAGTGAGGTTGGAGGTTAAGGAGTGAGGACCTGAGGTGCCTCTTGGTCCGGGGCTGGCAAGGGAAGCTCTACCGTGGAGTTGGTATTGGAAATGATACACAAAGGATGTGAACTAGTTGGCTGAAACAAGGCAAGGTGAGCTTGGCAGAGTGTTCAGGCATGGGAGTGATGCACATGGGCCAGAGGGGTGTTTGTTCCATAGCTGGAGTTGGGAGTGCAGGTGAGGTATCAGCAGCTCACTGTGAAGCAGGCAGGGAATCTTTGAAAAAGACAAGTGGATCTTGTCCTAGCAGATACTGAATGCATACGAAGCTGGGCAATAAGTAAAACAATGAGGTATTTGTGGCAGAAAAGCTGCTAAGTTAGTTATTTGTGCTTTTTCTTTTTTTCTATTATGTCAATCACTACTATTATGTCAATCACTACTATTAACAATCGAACACAAAATAAAACCATACTCAATATAGAGGCAAATAACAAATTAGGAGAAATATTCGCAACATATGCAAAAAGAAAAAGGTTATTGTATATATAATATTTCTGAAGATAGAGAATAGAGAAAATAAAAACATTTAAACAAGAAAAGTAGCATTACTTTCAATGACAAAATCCGCAGTTACTTTTGCACCAACCTAAGAAGTACTTTAAAAAAAAATGACAGTCAGCATATAAAATATACTTAATCTTATTTGTAATGAAAGAAATGCAGGCCGGGCGCGGTGGCTCAAGCCTGTAATCCCAGCACTTTGGGAGGCCAAGACGGGTGGATCACGAGGTCAGGAGATCGAGACCATCCTGGCGAACACCGTGAAACCCCGTCTCTACTAAAAAAATACAAAAAACTAGCTGGGCGAGGTGGCGGGCACCTGTAGTCCCAGCTACTCGGGAGGCTGAGGCAGGAGAATGGCGTAAACCTGGGAGGCGGAGCTTGCAGTGAGCTGAGATCCGGCCACTGCACTCCAGCCCGGGCTACAGAGCGAGACTCCGCCTCAAAAAAAAAAAAAAAAAAAAAAAAAAAAAAAAAGAAATGCAAAATAAAACAACTAAGATATATTTTTTTCTATCAATTTGGTAAATGTAGCATATGTAGCATGCATGAAGGACAATGAGGCATGGTGAACAACATGAGTGAACACTTTCCTTGAGCTATTTTCTTTGTCTATTTAAGCTTGAAATGAAGAATTTAACCTTACTCACAGCATTGAGCCCGGGGGCCAGAATATAGGCAATAAAGAAAGAATAAGAGTTGGACCTTATCTCTGAGATGAAATTGTAGCACCTATGCCAGGTACTCGTTGGATACAAGTTCCTCACAAAATTCCCCCCAGGGCCTGGTCTTGTTTGAGAAGACAGTTGTTGCTGAAGGAGGTGGAGGATGTTAGTCCCCCAGAGAGAAGTTCTTTCTTCACCAGGGGGAGCTACGAAAGAGGGAAGGTGATGAAAGAGAAGCCTCTTGTCAGGTAGGAAATGCTTCAGAGAAGCTCAAGGATGGCTGGAGGTCATGGCTGAGTTTTCATGACTGTCACGGCTAGAAGCAAGGAGTTAGGATCAGGCCTTACAGAGGCCTTAGTTTGGTGAGAGCTGAGGGAAACCAGTTTTTGAAATCATTTCCTTCAATCAGCAAACACATTGTATTTTACCCTTTCAAGGACATGAAAAAAAACACACTGGCTATCCTGTAGGCAAGTTCGAGGAGAAGTCCTGGTGGAAAAAGCAGCCCAAAGAATGGGGAAATCATAGATGCAGGACAACCTGAGCTGCATGGTCCACGTGCTGCAGCATCCGCTGTGCTGAGCAGAGACTTTGACTGGAGCTCATTTCTTGAACTGATGGGAAATCAATCAGCAGTGAAGCCAGGACATGCACTGTCACTGAAATCGATGCCTCAGTTGCTCAGGGTGACACAAGCCGCTTCCTTCCAAATGCTCTCTGACCGCTCCGGCTCACTTGCCTATTACTTACCTTGGGTGGTTGTCTAAATAACCTTCTCTCCTTCAAACTTCCTCTCAAGCTCAGCTTGATGGAGTGGAGGGCAATAAGTCAAAATAAAGTGTAGGTGTTAAGTTGTCCATTCAGCAGAGATGACTGGACAACACCCCATCTCGGAAAGGCTGCTGGGTTGGCTATTGAGGTCACTCTGTGCTTGCCCATCTCAATCTCTGATGCGGGGGTAGGGGCAAGGCAATTACTTCTTTTAGTCTTAATTCTACTCTTACAAAAAATTCAGGGGTTTGACCATATGATGGATAACATTTCTCCCAGCTATAGTATTTTATGAGACTAAAGATGAATAATGAGCAAGAAAAGGTGACTCCCACCATATCAGAAAACACTTGAAAAGCATGCCACCAGCTTAGTAATTAAAGAAATGCATATTAAAACAATGAAATACTTTTTAAACTCTTAGGTTGGCAAAGATTTAGTAAGGAAATAGTGCTACCTTCCAATGGATCAGGGAAGCAAAAAACAAGAGCCCTTGTATGGTGTTGCCCAGAATATACCTTTTCTACAAGTGATCTTAGCTAACAGGCCAAGAAATAATACAGCTTTTCTCAAGGACAGCTTGTGACTATGCATCAAAAGTTTTAAAATGTGCATCATCTTTGATCTACACCTTTGATCTAGTAATTCCATGAGAATGAGTTATGAGGAAATAACCAGAGACTCATGTACAGTTTTCAGTACAAAGATTTTTATCACAGCTGTCTTTACACTATGAAAAACAAAGGCTGATCTTCCTTTGCTTATGATATGTTATATGACACACTATGGCTGGCTTAGAGGTACTCAAAAGGCGCAGGATCATCGTGGCCCAAGAATACACACAATGTGCCAGGTCTCTCCCTGTAGTCTCCCACCCCATCGACACATGCAGAGCCCATTTCAGAGGGTGATCCTGCCACATGGCCAAGTGAGACCCTACCTTGACCAGGTTGTTGTGCTAATCTCTGTTAAAAGACCATCTACAGCTCACCATTGGCTACAGGACAAAGGACACTCTACGACTTTTTTGCCAAGGTCATTCACAACTGAGCCTCCCCCAGCCACTGGAAGGAGCTCACTGCCAACTTCTGTCCCATTGGCACTGTCTACCTGTCCACTCTGCCCCTACACTCCCTCTGATTTCTGGTCATCAGAGTCTGCTTCCTCCCCACTTCTCCCTTATCCTATCTGAATCATTTCCTCCTTCAATGGTGGCTTCCAAAATATATTCCCTGGCATTATGTGACTCCACTGCATACACAATTTAGCATATTAGTGTATACTGAGTTTTGTGTTCAGTTTGTTTCAAGTATATCTATCTTTTCATCTACAAAATCCCTATAAGTTGTAATTTGCCTTGTATTTGGAAAGCTGCAAGATATAAAAGAAATAATATGGTATGAAATCAGAAAAACCTGGATATCAATCCTGTTTGATGTTGAGTAAGTTACTTAACCACTCTGAGCTTGAGTTTCATTATTCATTAAATTGGGACAGTGGTAATTATTTCACAGGGTTGTACTGTGGCTAATGTGATAATTGTTAGCTGTTTGGCGCAATGCCTGCCCTGTATACCCAGTAATTGTTAATTCCCTTCTCCTTACTCTACTTTGAAGAAATTGGGCTTACCCTATAGTAGCTACACATAAAATCTTGTGGCCTGGCCAGCTCCCCCTAGGGCACTAGAAAAAATGGGCCTGTAGGGGACGAGAGCAGCAGCTGGCAAAGCAGGAAGGCCCCCCGCCCAACCACCCCCTGTGTGGTCCTGGCCTGACAGCTTCTTACCTGATGATTGTCAGAGGGATGAAGTACACCAGGAAGGCCACAATGGTCATGTACGGGGTCCAGTAGGAGTCGTCAGGCCACAGGGCCCAGCACTGCACTTCACCATTAGAGAGTGTCTTCTTCCCAAATATGATCAGGGTGGGAATGGAGAACAGGAAAGACAGGCTCCAGGCAATCACAATGAGGACCTTGGCTTGCTTTTCTGCCCAAAGAGAAGAGAGGGATGTCTGGGTATGTGGCAACCATTTTGAGGAGCACAATGGAGTTTGCTATAGAAAAGGATCACTGTGGGGCAGCCACCCTGTACTCCACAGAACCTCCCAGAGCCTCAGTTTCCTCATATGTAAACAGGGAGACAGTACCTCCATACAGAGTCGATGTGAAGATTATAAAGGGAAGCTTGAACAGAAGCTAGCACATTGCCTGGCCTAAGGTTGGTGCTGCTTCTTTCCTGATTTCCCCATCTGACTTGAGATGTTGACGCATCCGTTCTTGCAGTATTAGGGAGCTCAGTCTGTACCATGTACATTTAGTAAATTGTGGTGCAAATGCTGAGTTGTGTCTACCCATATGCAGTCACTCTTTTATTACGAGGCAGGGCTACAGCCTTTGGTCCGCGTGGCATCCTTTCACTGTACCCAGCACTGCAAAGCACTGGGACAGTTTTTGAGAATTATTTGCCAAATGGGAAGGAACCTTCTTTTTTTTTTTTTTGGTAGGAACATGGGTGGACTTATAAGGCTGAGAAAGAACACTGAACTTTGTTCTGGAGAGTAGTCGCATTCAAAACCAGCCCAGAAACCTGGTAGCTATGTCTGCACACTGGATTTCGGTTGCAATATTCTGACCTTGGCTAAACCATGCAGTCTCAGCCTCATCTTTTCTTTAAATTGGTATAAAAAATACCTGCTCTGGCCATCTCAGCATGTTATGATGGGGCTGGAGAGAGACAATTAATATATAAGCAAGCACCTTTAAAACACACCCGTTGTTATGATGTGATGCTTTCTGTCAAGCTGTTGTTGAAGCTGTCATCTTAATCCCTCACCTAGCTGGGCTTTCTGTGCTCACTGGCTCTGGGACCTTCTTCCAGAAACAGGAGGCCACCTTGCTCCCCTACTTTCAACTTGGAAAGCAGGCATGTGTCTTTGGGTGGGGTTGGAATGTAGAGTCAGGTGGTGTCTTCGAACAGTGTGTTGGCTCCGGTCGAGGAGCTGTAAGAAGTGAGAAAAATCTAGAGGAAACTAGGGACTCTATTAAAATCCAAACCTGAAATATTTAGGAGAATAATATCTAGGGTTCTGTTCTTGCTGAATTATACGCACTGAAAAGAGATACTAGATTCATGTAGAAAAGAGTTGTCATGGCCCACTGAGCAAGCAGGAGTCTTGGGGTAGAATTATAACAGCAATCTGATTAAGGTCTTTCTTGTTCCTTACATACAACTGGTAATCCACTGGGGACAGGGGGAGAGGTTTTCCTGCCTGTGTTTGGAAACTCAAGCCCCTTGATGTTAGTGATGACTCATAGGTGACAGACACATTAAGTGGTAAACATTGGTCAATTTAGTTAATTACATAAAAATTAGTAATTAAAATCCTAGACAACAATAAAAAACCCAAATTCTCAAGAGGATTTCAAGTATTTTCTCCCTAGGTGGGCTTGCTTCAAGTAGGAAGTCCAGCAGAGGTACCAGCCCTTCTGCTTTCTATCCTCATCTGCTAGGCCTCGTCCTCCCCCAGGTCGCTATCCACATTGGGGTCTCTCCACAGCTGGGGTACAGGGAACCAGGGAGGAGGAAGAGGACAGAGTTCTCGCTTGACTGCTGCTGTCATCAGAGGGCTTTGTGCTCTCTGTGCCTGGCTGCATCCAAAGCTGATTCTTGGTTCCCTGAGGAACTTTTCTGGGTCCTTTGGAAATTCTCCTGTGGGGTCTCGCTGGTGGCCACTTGCTTGACTTGGGCAGTGACGTTCCACCCTCCCTGGTCACCTCCAGGGAGGACTCTCTCTCTGGCAGAAATGTCTGGGGCAGGATCTTTTTTAATACAGCCTCAGGCAAACTTCGCGGTGCAGGTTCTACATCAGCCCCCTGGGCTAGGACCACAGCGCCAACCAGCCTCTCTTCAACGGTCTCAGGTGTGATGTAGTCATCGGTCCCCAATGCTCTCAAATACAGGGAACATGTCAAGCTCTGTGAGTCATCATGTGAAGCCCTCTCACTAGACTTAGTTTATGTAGACATCGAGTCACCTGTGATTAGGACAGTATGAAAGGTGAAAGAGAGACTGAGAACAGTGTCGACATCTTCACTAGATGAGGGCCTTGGCCATATGGGCACAGGCATGGGGAAGGCATTGTAGAAGGTAGTCTAGACTGATAGCATGAGCATCAGAGAAACAGAGCAGGCATGTATGTGCAATACTGAAGGAGAAATGGCCTAGAGGTGGTCTAGAAAGGTAGGAAAATGTCTTCACCACCACCACGCCATGAGGTATCTAAAAAGGAAGGCTGAGGAGCATCCTTTTGAGATGTCTTAGGGGAATCAGCCACCTCAGGAGGCAGGAGGTGGGGGCAGGAGGTTGATGGTATAGGGGAGCTGGTCCCCTAAGGAATAGAGAAACACCAGGGGTGGAGAGAAGCAGTGGGAGTTCAGATTAGGAAAGAAGCAGGGTGGGATGAAGTGGGCAGGTGGTAGGACTGGAGGGGGTTCTTCTTGATGGTGGGGGTGTAAAGCCTGATGGGTTTCTATGGTTCTGGGTGACATTAGTAGCTGCCCCCGGTGCTCTTGTTCTTTCAATGGTTAGAATTCTAATGTTGTCTTCTTCTATAGGTCCCAGGACACTTTTAAGGGCAACATGTGACTCCTGGGCCCCACCCAGTTTCCACTTGATGGGTAAACAGTGCGTTCACTTTTGAGAGGGATGCACAGGGAAACAGATTAAGACAGTATAATTTAGAATCGACTCTACCAAGGTCTCCAAAGATGTTTCCCCAAAGGCCCAGCAGGGTACAGGCTTGGAGCCGTTTTTCTCATACCGGTGCTGGGCTGCACTGGGAAAGCCCCACTCTCTTAGGCTGTGACGCAGCTGCCACAGCAGGGAGACTGATGGCCTTCCAGGCAGCTGAGCCCATTTGCCATGAAGAGTGACTTCTCAGGGCTGAAGGATCCAGGATCGAACAGATGAAATGCAGGTTTGCATATGAGGTAGACTGTCTCGTGTTTCTCACCCCCGGAAAGTCAGACTCCCTCTTCCACGTGATCTTGTCCATTTCTGCACGTCTCTGCTGCTTAGCCTTCTTCTTTTCCATGTAACTAATTTACCTTTTTATAAAATCGTGTAAGTTACACATATTGATTACGGAAACACTAGCAAATAAAAATAAGCGAAAAGGAAAAAAATCCATAGTGGCACCCACCAGAAACGTCAAGTTTAAATTTTGATAATGCATGCATATATAATACATAGATTACACATTTAAAAATGAGATCACAATACAGATGCTACCTTGTAACCTAATTTTTTTCCTCTGAAAAGCCTGTTATGACCATCTTTTCCTGTTAAGAAATATCAATCTGTACAAGTGGCATTTTTTTTTTCAGGTAGTAAGATCCTTTCTTCAAATACAATTTTATCTTGAACCCAGTACAGAAAATATAGAAAGCTCAGGTAGCTTCGGTTGAAACCGAGACAGTCAGCAACTCCCAGATCTGCCCTGGAGCAGGCCAGCAAAATGAGCCCTCTGGGAGTCAGTGTGGGAAGCACAACTGGAAAAGTACTGATAAATAATATTTTTTCCGAAGGTTATACCGTACTCCAATTGTATCAGTAGCCTATTATTATCTAAGTTATTTTCCATTTTTTTGTTATAAATAATTTATATTCATCTATTTTTCCCAGTTCTAGTTATTCCTTAGGATAAACTCTTAGAAACAGAAGAATTATTAACTTTGGACAAATATTGTTACATTTCCCTCAAAAGTGCCAACTGTTTACGGCTGTCACTATAACAATAAAAGTACCCATTTCCTTATATTCTCCTAATACTTAGATAATTCTTCCTTTTAATCTTGTTACGTGGTTGGTAAAAGTTTGTATCCAAATGTTCAATCTTGCAATTCTTTAATTAGTGGTCAGAAGAACATTTTTAAATATTTTCTTTTCATTTATTTTTTATTTATTTATTTTTTTTGACCAAGTCTCACTCTGTTGCCCAGGCTAGAGGGCTAGAGTGCAGTGGCGCGATCTCCACTCACTGCAACCTCCGCCTCCCAGGTTCAAGCAATTCTTGTGCCTCAGCCTCCTGAGTAACTGGGATTACAGGTGCGTGCCACCACGCCCGGCTAATTTTTGTATTTTTTAGTAGAGACGGGGTTTCACTATGTTGGCCAGGCTGGTCTCAAACTCCTGTCCTCAAGTGATCCACCTGCCTCGGCCTCCCAAAGTGCTGGGATTACCAGCGTGGGCCACAGCACCTGGTCTCATTTATATTTCTTTGTTTCCTGATAGTCTGTTCATGCCCTTTGCCCATTTACTCAATTAGAATGTTTTCATTTCTTTGCCAGACTTCTTTATAAAAAGGATATTTTTCTTTGCCTATTATATAAAAATATTTTCCATTTATAATTTTGCTTTTTAAGTTTGTTTATGAATATTTATTATGTATATAAATAATTTAAATTTTTATGTAGTAAAAAACTATATTTTCCTTGTTGTTTCTGCTTTTGATATGATTCCTGGAAAGGCCTTTCCTTCACTGAAATTATGAAGGTGTTACCCAAATATTCTTTTACTCTTTTTATGTTTAAAGTGTTAATTTTTTCAGTCCAACTAAAATGTACTTTGTTATTAGCTATGGCGGGTGGTGATCTAATATTTTTAAAAAAGGCCAGACAGCTATTTCAACATATAGTATAATGACTAATTCATTTTTTGCCGACTGATCTGAAATTTTGTATGATTTATATGTGTTATTCCAGTTCCAGTATTATATCGTTTTAATTATCAAAATTTTGTATTACGTTTTAATATAACACTGCATATTTCTCTTCATTATTTTGATATTTTTCTAATTATTCTCATATTCATTTTTGGTGAAGAGCTTTAAAATTGTCAACTTTTCTGGAGTTGCTGGCTAAGAAAAATACTGCTTCAGTAAATAGCAGTAAAAAATAAATAAAACATAGCCTCCCCTCGCTTAAGCG